TATCTATACAGTTTCAAAATGACAACAATCAAAAGACTGGATAGGAAACCTGGGGAGCAGTGAGATTAAGTGAATTGGGTAGGAAGAATTCAGAAGAGGGGGGTGAAAATGGCTGCACAATTCAAAGAATGTAATGTCATTGAACTGTACATGCAGAAAGGGTTGAAACGGTATATGTTTCACTGTGTACATTTCTCAAGAACAAAAAAATAAAATTTAAGAAAAAATAATATAGAAGTAAACTCATGTACACTCCATTTTGATATAAGTTAAGTTTAAGCATGATTTCCATAAATTAGAAATTTAGAGTTATTTGTGACTTCTCTCCTTGGCTTTCTATAGCAGTACTGTCCATCAGAACTCTCCTCTGCAATACAAATGTTCTATTTCTATATTGTCTAATACAGTAACTATGAGCAAGATATGGCTATTGACTACTGGCTAGTGTGACTGAGGAATAGCATTTTCTTTTTTTTTAGTTGTGATTTGGGTGAAAGTTTACGGAGCAAAAATTCACTTTCCATATAGCAGTTCACACACATTGTCTCATGACATTCACTACAATTTATCCGAACGCAACAGCTCCCCTCCCACTTCCTCCTGATAGTTAATTACCTCTTCCCTGTGTCCATCCCTCCACGCACTCCTGCCCCCTGAACTGTCTCCCTGTACATAAACAGCCCTTCTTTGTCCCATGATTGTTCTCTCCAAGGAGTGTATCTACCTCAGGTACATGTTCAACTCATATGCCTGTCTTTTGTTTGGCTGGAAGCCACAGGTGTGGGTTCAATTCTGACCTGAAGGGCAGCTAGGGACCATAGTCTCAGTGGTTCCACGAGGCTCTATCAGACCAGCAAACCTGGTGCCCCCCCCCCTTTTTTTAATCCCAAATGATTTTGAGTTTTGTTCTACATTGTTCTCCCTCTCTATCCAGGATCAGGAATAACATTTTTAATTTCATGTAATTTAGTGGCTACTATATTGGGTAGTACAGCTCTGTAGCCAATCAAAGATCTGTGAAATCTTTCTTTACAGTTTCTCTCACCATCAGTATTTTCCCATATTCAATGTCAGAGTAATTCCAGACTGTATGTACCTCACACAAGTACTACTCTCTCCCTAAATGCCATTGAAATAATTATTTCTCTTCCTATGCTCCACTGAAATATTATTTCATTATTTTAATTTCACTATGCCATATACTCTGCTCAAAATCCAACACATAAAAGAACAGAAAGAATGAAGTCCAAATGGCATTTAAAATATTCCATAATCTGATCCATTTTTTAGCTTAAAATCTACAAAAATCTGACTTAAAAAGATCTACTCATTATTCCTCCAAAGACGTCAAGCTTTTACATGCTTTAATTATATTATGCTATAAATCACAGATGGCTTCTTGTTGTTGTTGCTGTTGTAGTATGCTGTCGAGTCGGACCCAACTCATAGCGACCCCTCCTTGGGTTTCCGAGGCAGTATCACTACGGAAGTAGATTGCCCCATCTTCCTTCCGAGGAGTGGCTGATGGGTTTGAACCACCAAACTTCATGGTTAGCAGTCAAGTGCCTTTAGGCACTACGTTACCAGAGCTCCCGATGACCCCTTATCTCCAGTTTGAAAAATCAAATCTTAACTCTCCCCCTACTATGAAAATAGATTTCTCTTCTGCCCACTACTACTCTAAGAAAGTAATTATCACTCCTAAATTGCAATGTCAATGTATGATTTATTTGAATATCTAATATTGATTTATTGCTTTAGCAGTTCCTTAAAACATTCCTTGTTGTTTAACCTTCTATTTCTTTCAGAATTTGCTCCTAAACATGAAGGCAAGAGCACATCACACAGCCCTGAGAGTAGTGCCCTCCACACAGCATTCTCACAGGTCAACGAATTTAAAGGCAATATGAAAGTATATAAGAAAAAAAGGGTTAAATTATGAGAGTTTTTTTTTTTTGGGGGGGGGGGGCAAAGAATGACCCAAATGTCATTTTTCTGCATTACTGAAAGCAAAAAGAAATTAAAAATGATCAATAAAACATCAAGCAAAACACAGCTGAGGTCCTGATAAGTTCCTAGCCTGGTAACATGGCTCAATGCTCAACTTAAATCTATACCATTAGAGAAATAAGGAGCCCTGGTGGTGTAATGGTTACGAACTTGGCTGCTAATCAAAAAGTTGGCTGTTCAACCCACCCAGTGGCTCTGTGGGGAAAAAAAGACCTGGTGATCTGCCCTGGCAAAGATTACAGCTTAGAAAACCCTTTGGGGCAGTTTTACTCTGCCATACTGGGTCACTATGAATTAAAAATCAACTCAATGGCACCTAACAACAATAGAGAAGAACTTTTCCTGCTTTCTCCTCACACGCTTAAGAAACAGTACCTATGTTATAAAGGAAAACCGAAGCCATTCCTAGATCTAACCTAGAGTCCAGGCTCCCAGAGGCATCAAGGCTCCTTCCTAAATTGCTTCTAAAAAGTCAAATGAAATACATTTCCCTAAATTGCATCAATGAGGCAGATGAAATAAAATGAAGGAACAGAGAAAGAGAGCACCCACCATGCTCTCCCCAGCCAAAGAAAATAAAAGAGATCAAAAACAGAAAAAGAATATTTTAAGAACAGACTCTGTATCGATTTGTACTTTTAAGTATATAATTTAAATATTATTTTAACTTACTGAAAATAGGACTTCAGCCATTTCTAACTGTCATGTCATTATTAACCCATCCAGGGGAAATGTTTACCCCAAGGAAAGGGTACTTATTTTCTAAAGAATGTCTGATTAAATTTGAAAAGTGAAATTCATTGTTGCTAACTTATCCTATTTTTTAAATTGTCTTAAAATAGAACAAATCTTTATTTCCAGTTCCTGAACACTGTCCATTTGAAATGAACTAAAGCCAGAGCACCAAATAACTTCTTTTCTATGTTCTTTTCTCCAAGAAACATACACAGAATGTAAAATTGAAACAAAATAAAATTTGATGTCTGTCAGGCACTTTAAGTGCTTAATACCTGTATAAGGCATGATACCAGGTGCTGAATAAACATTTAATGTCCTAAGTCAAAATCCAGAGCTATAATCATAGCAAAATATCTCTAAGATAGTAGGTCCCATAGACCTGATTCTAACACAGGTAACAGCAGAAGTGCCCCCACAAGATTTTCACTGTAATCTTTATGGGAGCAGACTGCCAGGTTTGACTCTCGTGGAGCTGCTGGGTATGTTCACACCACCAGTCTTTTGATGAGTGTTTACCTGTTTGTACCACCAGGACTCTTCATCTTTAAGATATGCTTTTATCCTCTTTCTATAACACTAAAACAGAACGCTACATTTCAGAGAATTATCTACCTTAGATTCTATGTATGCCTACAATTGAAAACAGCAAAAGATAAGAATATTGACTGTGATGGTAGCAAAGGATGGCCAACTGCTAAACTCAATTCCTTCTCTTAAGGTTATTTCAAAAATGAAAATAACCCTTAGATCTGTCCCATCAATGGGGAAGGAGTATTAGGGGTGGCTGGGGCAGAAATCACATTGCTTTGCAGTTTTGCAGGAGAGCCAGAATTTGTTTAGAAGGTGATGACTTTGCCTTGTTCTATAAATCAACTTCCCTTGCTACAATGAAGAGCAGAGTACATAGTTCCTGATTGATTTCTTTACTGCTCCTCTCAGAAATTAAGAACTTTCCCTAGGGTGAAGAATTAAGCTTTTTAAACCTATTAAAAAAAAACTTATGACACTAAATTATAGCAAGAATCAAATCATGTAAATTGAGCAGGGTTTATGTGATCTAACCTTTACCAGGTTCATGTATATAAAATAAAAATTTCCTGTCCCAACTGGGGTACCAAAAAATAAGTAAAAATATTTTTGCCTCATAAGTATTCTATAATATAGCTACCTAATAGAGCTATTTTTATTTTCAAGTTGCAAGAATATTAATATAGTTAAACTGGAAAAATATAAATTTCAAATGATAAAGCAATACTTAGCTATAGTCTATAAGCCCATACAACTTATACTTTATTTAATTGAGTGAGAGAAAGTGTGTATGTGGAAAAGGCAGATGAAACAGAAAATAGAAGGGAACCAAAAAAAAAAAAAAGAAAATCCCACTTATCTTCGGTAAAAATAACTGGATGAATGAGACACGAATAAAACCCTTCAACATCTGGTGCATATAGAAAGGTCTATATGGAATGAATGGGTGATCTCAGTTCAGATATCCTGGAGGTCTTATCAATGTGAGTGTACAGTACTGAAGGTAACATGTATAGAGTAAAAAATAGATTCCATTTCAGATACGAGTAAACAGCAATTACATTAAATTACTATTTTCACAAGATATCTGAAATGGTCCAAAATTGCTAACAATTTTGCTATTTCCAGAAACAAATATTAAATAATATCCATTATGCCTCAAATGCACATATATTAAGACATAATTTATACTAAAACATATTTACTTTGTGGGATTTTTTTTAGTATAACAAAATTCCGAGCTCTTAACCGTCTAGAATTTTCTCCTTAATTTTATAGAGAAAAACTCTCATGATAGAGAAGGTAAAGGAAATCCCAAAACCACCTAATTGGTAAAATATCTATCACTAGGAATCCCAAAATACAAAGCTGTGCCAAGCTATGTGAGTATTAACGAGGTTCATCAATACTTAATAATTATTTTAAAAAACAAAGGATATAAAAAATACTCAAGCTGAATTGTACTACTTCTTAGAAGAGGTACTGTAATTACTTAAAAAATATAATTAAAAAAAAAAAATCCCACAATATAAACCAGCCAGAATAAACTAGCTGGCTTCTATGCTTGGTTTTGTTTTTTAAATAAACCAGTATTTACACTGCATAGCTTTTTTGCTTCCTAAAAACAGAACTTTTTCAATGATTTAAATTTGGTAATTCATCTCACTAACATCCTAACCTTAATTATCTGAGTTTACATTTTAGAAAGCATGAATTCTACTTACCACATATTTCACAGCACTTATAAACTGGTTGTGGAAGAGCAGGTGCTGTGTTTCATCTTCTGGATTTGAGGCTGTGTAAAGCATTCCACAGACATTACAGGAAATGGCTCCAAATCTTTTCTGTCCTGCATCCTATTTTAAAAAATGAAAATAAAAAGTTCCCCCCCCCAAAAAGAAATTATTCTAGAGCATTGGCCTCTAAGGCTATAATGTGAACAACATGAGAAACTACTTAATCTCTATGAATAACATTCAATAATATTAATTATAAAAATAAAGATATTAACCTTCAAAATCCGTAATTTTATTCATTAAGAAACATCTCCATTAAAAAAAAAATTAAAATTCCCATTTTAATAAAATGATCCCTGACTTCACAGAATACAATGATAACTCAAAGGAATTGAGAAATATCCTAAACACTACAAACTTAGTCCTGAAATCCCAAATAACAAAGAATACATAAATGAGAATATGTATTTCACACTTTCCAAAATTAGGCTACTACAGTCTAGAACTCACAGAAACCCTTGTAGAACTGCTCCATAGGGTTTCCAATACTGTGAATCTTTACAGAAGCAGATTTTCTCATCTTTCTCCTGCAGAGCAGCTGGTGTAGTCCAACCACTGACATTCTGGTTAGAAGGCAAATGCTTCAACCACTATGCCACCAAAGCACCTCAGATCCCAGAGCTATAACGTCGCCAAGAGTCAGAATAGATTCGATGGCAGTGGATTTTTATAGTCATGAAGGAATAGTGTTTTATGGACTCTATCTTTTCATACTCAAAGCTTCCAGTTTATTGGTAAAAATTAAGAAGTTCATAAGTATATCTTAAAGAATATGAAAGATTTAAAAATAACGAAAGCAAAATGTTAAGAGAAATAAAGTTAAAAGAGATCAAATCTATCTAACCATGCAGAACTAAAACTAAAAGCCAGTTGCCGTCCAGTCGACTCCAACTCATGGCAATCCCCTGTGCATCAGAGCGGAACTGTGCCCCATAGGGTTTCAATGCCTGATTTTCCAGTACCAGATCACCAGGCCTTTCTTTCTAGGAGCCTTTGGGTAGATTCCAATCTTAACCTTTCCGTTAGCAGCCTGATACTATCTGCAGCACCTAGGGACTCCATACGAACCTAATTCTAACAAAACAGATGTTTTGGAAAAATCTGTCCTCTTCTCAAGATACTCTATTGTCACTTGCTTAAAATCTGTCATAAAAATTCCTAAATCTTCCATGAGTATATGGACTCCATTTTTTTACTGTCTTGAAAATCTGTTCTGTTTAATGATTTTCTTCTACACAGTTTACAGACATTAAAAAGAAAATTTTGATGTTACCTGAAACTCTTGATAAAAGGTACAATTTTTACAATTATTTTTATATTAAATAAACAAGAAACACTAACTCCTATTCACATTTCCGGTATGGAGTAACAACTATTTTACAAACTGTTTTCTATTCTTGTCCTTCACTGATATCATGAAAATTTCTACTATATGACTGAACTTTTAAAATAAACTAAAAAAAAAAAAAAAAAAAAAAAATAATCCTTTTTTCTGCTCTATGATTATGCAATTTGAGCTACCAACTGAAAGGAATAAGATCTAATGTCTTAGAACTAGTGTCAAATGGCAAGAAGAAATTAAATAGTAACTAAATGTGCATAAATTAAAGAGAAATTCATTCTACAGTATGAAAAATACTGATTAAATGTTACCTAAAATTTATTTCAGGCAGTTGAGTAAGCATTTATGCTTCAATTTCCTCAACGATAATGGGAAAAAAACAGAAGCACATTTCACAATTTTTCTATAAGGATTAACTGAGCTGACAAAAGTGGAAGGCTTTCAAAGCATTCAGAAAGTATAGATGGTATCATCATCCCTAGACCAGCATGTCCAACAGAAACAGAATCCACAAATCTAATTTAAAATTTTCTAGCAGTCACGTTAAAGAAACCAAAAAGAAACTGGTGAAATTAATTTTAATGATATATTTAATTTAACCCAACATATAGCACATATTATCGAGCTCTGGTAGCGTAGTGCCTAAGGCACTTGACTGCTCACCCGAAGGCTGGCGGTTCAAACCCACCAGCCACTCCTCGGAAGGAAGGTTGGGCAATCCTACTTCCGTAGTGATACTGCCTCGGAAACCCAAGGAGGGGTCGCTATGAGTCGGGGCCGACTCGACGGCAAATAACAACAACAACAACAACATTTCATGTCATCAATATGAAAAAAAAAAAATTACTAGTGAGATAGGAGTTCTGGTGGTTAAGCATTCAGCTGCTAACCCAAAGGTCAGCAATTTGAACCCATCAGCTGCTCCATGAGAGAAAGATGAAGCAGTGTGCTTCTGTAAAGATTTACAGCCTTGGAAACCCTATGGATCATTTCTAATTCTGTGCTGTAGGGTCTCTGTGAGTTGGAACCAACTAGATGGCAATGGGTTGGATTTATTAGTGAGATACTCTTCATTTTCTGGGGTTCTAGTCTTTTGAAAGTGAGCTCTGGTGGCACTGTGGGCAAAAAATGGGTTGCTAACCAAAAGGTTGGCTGTTTGAACCTACCAGCAGCCCTGCAGAAGAAAGATGAGGCAGTCTGCTTCTGTAAAGATTTACACCCTTGAAATCTCTATAGGGTAGTTTTACTCTATCCTACAAAGTCAAAATCAACTCAAGGGCAGGGGGTTAGTTTTTGAAATGTGTGGGGTTTGTTTTTTTTTCCCACATTTATAAAATATCTCAATTTTGATGATCCACATTTGAAGTGCTCAAGAGTCACATGAAGCTACAATATTGGACAGTGCAGCTCTAGGTTCTATTTGTCTAATCCTGTGTCATTATTATACTGATTTCACAACAAGAATTTTACTAACCCAGATAAAACAAGTTTTCCATTCAATATTCCTTCTGAAGAACTTCTAGACAATTTTTCCGAAGGTATTCTCTCATATAAACATTAGAATCAAACATCCAGTACCAAAAATCATTATTAATAATGCTGACCAGAACATTAAATGTCCCTCTTACTTTGGGTCCCTTCATTTTTTTATGTTATCCTCACTCATTGAATTATGGTGCTGGCAAAGAATAACGAATATACCACGGAGTGCCAGAAGAATGAAGAAATCTGAGTGAAGAAGTATAGCCAGAAAGCTCCTTACAGGTGAGGATGGTGACACTTTGTCTCCTGTATTTAGACATGTTATCAGGAGGGACCAGTCCCTGGAGTAGGACATGATGCTTAGCAAAGCAAAGGGTCAGCAAAAGAGAGGAAGACCCTCAACACGATGGACTGATACAGTGGGTGCAGCAGTGGGCTCAAATACAGCAATGACTGTAAGGATGCTGCATCATTCTGATGCACACAGGGTTACTATGAGTTGGAACCAACTCCAAGGCACCTAAAAAGAACACTCACTTAAATTAGATTTTTAAAAATCATTCAAAGTATCTCCCTCTTTCTAACTTCCCACCACACTGTATTTATTTTCTGTTTCAAATTTACTACTGGTTTGTTGTTGTTGTTGTTATGTGCTATGGAATTGGACCCGACTCTAGAGACCCCTCCTTGGGTTTCCAAGGCGGTATCACTATAGAAGCAGATTGCCCAACCTTCCTTCCGAGTGGCTGGTGGGTTTGATCTGCTGGCCTTTTGGTTAACAGTCTGGTTTATCTTCTTATAAAACATATTTTTAAATTTATGAGGTATAATTACAATCATTTTATGTACTGTTGTTGCTGTTATGTGCCGTCGAGTTGGACCTGACTCATAGCGACCCTTCTTGGCTTTCCGAGACAGTATCACTAATGGAAGCAGATTGCCCAATCTTCCTTCCGAGAAGTGACTGGTGGGTTTGAACCGCTAGCTTTCTGGTTAGCAGTCAAATGCCTTAGACACTACGCTACCAGAGCTCCTTTTATGTACTAAGCTTCCTTTATTTTAATATAGGTATGCATTACTTAACATTCATTCAGACAAATGTCTATCCACATAAGTATCTTTGGTCCCACTGTTTTTTTTTTAAAAAGGAAAGCAGCTCTCCTTTTGCTTATTACTTCCTCCTAATTATTTTAAACTCCAAACCATGACTCTTGCAGCACTTGACCACAGGTGGGATATAGGCAGGTAAGTCAGAGGACAGAGAGCAGGTGGGTGAGACAACAAGCAGGGCTCGGCATCCTAAGTTCTCTCTTCATTTGCTTCCTCTCATTCCATTTTAATTCCTGCTGCTATTGCTGCTACTAGCACCAACTCCTCTGGCTTCCACTAGCAGCTCTAGCAGTAGCTGTGGCAGCAGTGACAATAAGAACAATCGGAAGCAGGCTTCCAAAAGGTTTTAGTATGGTACTCACACAGCATACAAACCATATAACGTCCTATTTCACAGAATGTATCATGGACATTAAGTGACACATAGCTGTACTTAAATCAACTACTGAAAGAAGGTAGTGATCAAATGATCTATCTAAGTAGCAAATATAAAATGAAATACCATCTGTTATAAATGAAGCTAGAAGTATGAACACTGAATTTTTATGATTTGTTACAGGATGAATTCAGTAGTAAGGGGGCATTATATCTGTAATGATATCAAGAATACTTCCAAGATTTATGGTAATAAAAAAGCTTTAAAAAAATGGAATTAATTAATTCTTTACGAACTTGTATAAATAGGATGCTTAAAATAAGTCTTCAGAAAAAACTAAGTCATGTTATATACTTACTATGATCAACTGCTTTTCATCAACTTTCTCTGCTTCTTTTAGTTTTAAGTCCTTTGGAATTTTTATCTCCAAATGAGAATTGCACTTGGGCCAAGGATGATTTGGTGATGTCTCCCTTAAAAAACACAGACAGACAAACAAAAAACTGTCACCTCAAATCACTGAAGGGAACAAAAGTAATATATTTTCTATGTAATACTGACAAACCTCACTCTACAAGAAGAGAAAAATAACCTTTAAAAAAATATCAAGAAAACTACTCATTTACAACAAAACTTCATTACCTACTATCATCTGAACAAGTTTTAAGTTTTACAGTTTCAGCCATCTTAGTCATTACACTTTGTCCTAGATACTGTTTGTTGGTAACACCGAAGGCAAAATAAATGAGATTTAATTTACCTCTGACATTAAAGACAGAACAAAAAGCTATAAAACCATTTAAAAACACTTTTGCAAACTGGTAATACCCAGTATTTCCAACAGTATGGGGAAATAAGGATTCTCAAACACTATTGCTTCAAGTATAAATAGGCACAATCACTTTAGAGGGAAATTTGGCAATGCAGGATAAGTCCTACATGATGAGTTTATCTAGAGATAAAGTCACACAAGTGGGCAGATAAGTGTTTATTGCAGGATTTTATTTTAGTCTTTAGTGGAAATTAGAAACAACCAAATGCCACAAAGTAGAAAACAGTTCAATAAACCATAGGATTTTCACATAACAGAATCTAATCAGAATTTAAAAGAATGAGGTAGAACTGAATGGGAAGTGGAGAAGATGCCCATGATACATTAAGAAAAACAAAAGGTATAATATACTATATATAGGCACAGAAAAAAGTGTTATGAAATGAGAAACTGTATCACTTTCTACATGGAAAACTGAGGCCTACTAGCACAGTTTTTTGGTGGGAAAATCCCACAAACCCAAAAGTTCTCATATTTACTTGTATATTTAACATCTTACCTGTTATCACTGTTTTTAGATGTTTGGTTATTGAGTATACTGTGCTGTTTGGCAACTGAACCTGTAAATTAATCAGTAAGATGGAGTATGCATTAAACTTTATACTAGCTTTCCATCTAATGATCAAAAATCAATTATACAGAAAGGAGAAAAAAAGCAATACACTAAATACTTCATTTTTAATAAAGACCATCTGATAAAGGGAAAACCTCTTTCTTACTTAGAGATTACTCTTCAGAGAAGAGGCAGAAAGACTGTTCCATATATGGACTACAGAATAGCCAAGAGATCTAATGGTAGATCAACAGGAATTTATCTCTGCTTTCACTCAATTACTAGCACTGAACAATAAAAGAAATCCTTTAAATGCCCACTGCAGTCTCAAAATGGAAATACATATATTTCCTTGTTAAAAAAACATAGCCTCTGAAGTTTTAATCACATCAATAAATGCAATTATCAATTCATTTCTAATGAATAAATGCATTTCTCATATTTATATGATACTTCTTCCCCTTCTCCCACTGTGGGAAAAAGTTAAAACGATACGTAATGGCAGCAATTATACGAACATTTTGTTCCAAATATACCTTTCCTTTAGTGGACAGAAACAATAGGAATTATCTTTTTTCTATAGCCCTATGGTGCTTCAGCTGACACAGGTAAGTAAATCTCCATCCATCTGTTCAGTTAATATTTTGTCAAGAAAACATCACTAGATTATAAGAATAGCTTTTATAGACACTGCAGCACTTTTTAAACCCTTAAGAATTAAATTCTGAGAATCATTAAAAGTTGAACAACTGAGGGTTAAAGATAAGAATCTGAAGTGATAAAGCACAAATAGTCATTTATACTTGAGAAGTAATACCGCTTCATTTATACTTAAGAAGTAACTTAAGCAACTCATTGAGTAACACAACTCCTCGGAAGGAAGATTGGGCAATCTACTTCCATAGAGATACCGCCTTGGAAACCCAATGAGGGGTTGCTATGAGTTGAACAGACTTGAGGGAGGGAAGTGAGTTTGGGTTTTTTTTTTGGGACTTAGGAAACTAAGTCACAAAGAAAATAAAAGAATAAAAACAAAAACACTTTTAGAGGGAGACAAGGGGCCTTACTTGGTACTTTAAACAAGTCAATCAACAGAAGAAATTTTTTAAAAAATGGCATTTAAAAAACAAGCAATGGTAAAAAGAATTAACAGGCTTATGTGGTAGAAGACAGTTTCCTGTTTAACAAAAATTCAAATACTATTTTTAAAGCATTACCTGGAAATTTACTCTCTTCTGCATCAATTTTTGCTTGATTAAGCAGAGCTGAAACAGCAGTGGCATTTTCCACTGGAGTATTTTCCAGCTTGGATTCCAAATACAAACTAAAATTCTAAACACATATAATTCAAAATGTTAGTATTTAGTTTTTTTATGTCAACCCTTGGGTCTTATTCTGATACATTTTCATTAAATTTAAACATACTAAGAAACTTCATATTCAAAATAATTCACATAAACATGTGTTAAATATCTCTCCACAAGCTATCCTCTCAGCATCAGCTCCCATTATTCCTTTTCATGGTAAATTCTAAACTTTACCACTCTCACAAATATATTCCACATTCACATGGCTCTATGCTTTTGCTCAGTTTCATCTATCTAGACCTGCAACATCCAAATATGGTAGCCACTGCCACATGTGACAATATACTGAGTACTTAAATGCGGTTAATACAAACTGAGACCTGTTATTTAAAGTGTAAAACACACACCAGACTTCAAATACTTAGTGTTTTAAAAAAAAAAAAAAAAAAAGCTCATGAATAATTTTTGTATTGAACACATTGAAACTATAATATTTTTATACATCAGGTTTAAAAATATTAAAATTAACTTTACATGTTTTCTTTTGCTTTTTTAATGTAACTACCAGAAAATTTTAAATGATTTATGTGGCTCATGTGTTTCTACTGGATAGTCCTAATCTAGAACACAGTTCTCGCCACATAAATTCAACTCATGACTCAAATATGAACCTCTTCCACAAAGCCTTCTCCAGTCTTGCCCAGATCCTTTCCAAAATTCAGAATAATTTTTCTTTGTCTACTTTAATTCTTTCAACTCCTCAGTACTTCCTATTTTCAATTAGTTATCTGTGGTACAATTCATCTGTAACTCTTAAAAGCAAGGATCATATTGCATTTATCTTTGTATGCCCTTCCCCAAAAAACCAAACCTTTTGCCACTGACTTGATTCTGACTCATGGCAATCCCACGTGTTTCAGAGGAAAACCTCCACAGGGTTTTCTTGGCTGTAATCTTTATGGAAAGGAGATCACCAGGTCTCTCTTCTGTGGCAGTGCCACTAAACTCAGCAAACCTGAGCTCAAAACATTTCCACTACACAGGGACCTTACTGTATAACCAAGAGCCCTAATTCAGAGCTTTGCCATAGTAGTCACTCAGTAACTGCCAAAAGAAACTACCTCCAAACTATGAGCAGCTGCTATCACGGAAATTAGAGGAGAAAGAATCAGCTTTTTCCTTATATACCCACTTTACTGGGAGCTCTGGTAGCGTAGTGCCTAAGGCACTTGACTGCTAACCAGAAGGCTGGCAGATCAAACCCACCAGCCACTCCTCAGAAGGAAGAGGGGGCAATCTACTTCCATAGTTATACTGCCTCGGAAACCCAAGGAGGGATCGCTATGAGTCAGGTCCGACTTGACAGCACATAACAACAACAACAACCCACTCTGTTGTGACAAAGCAGCTCTGGTGGCATAGTGCCTAAAGCATTGGCCGTTCAAACCCACCAGCCACTCTGCACAAGACTGGGCAATCTACTCCTGTAGTAATACCACCTCAGAAACCCACAGTGGGTCACTATGAGTCAGAATTGACTCGATGGCAGTGAGTGTGGTTGGCTTATATCGTGATAGTTACAATGATGTGTTTGCATTACTTTCTGTCATTGAAAATCAAAGCAGGAAAAAAAGAGAAAAATAATAACAATGAGATGCTTACTAATTATTCTAATCCTCATTAATAAATAGGAAGGTAGTCAGCAGATTACTGACTTAAAAAACAAATCATAAAATAATTAAGCTTTAATATTCATAAGCTCTGAATAATTTAAATTCAGTCCAAAGAATTCAGAGTAAATTAGATGTTTATCCTTGTCAACCATCATTATTTCACAGTACTTCTGAGATGGACATCATATAATCAAAAGAGCGAAGTTACAGGTGGCCACAGGGAAAGTTTTCAATGATATAAGGTTTGTCCTCTACATTCTCCTACCTCCCCCATATGTATAAATCTGGCTGGGCTCTGAAGCCAGATAGTATCTGTTTATATCCTGACTTCATCACTTATTAGCTAGTCACTCAACCTAGTTACTGAAATCTTTAAGCTTACTTTCCTCATATAAAATAGGTGGCTAACAATAAAACATACATTATAGAGGAAAAGATAAGTAAATTATGGTGATTTCTTCACAGGTATCAAAATACACACAGGTATCAAAATATATCAATAAATACTAAATATACTGCTGACTGCACAAAACGAAGCTGCAAAAACATACAGGTATAAAATGTTAGCATTTATATGCAAACATAAAACATTAAGTATTTTAAAAAATCTGAAGTAATTCAACAAAATGGTAATGCTGCTCAAATCAAAAAGAGTGATATACAGTGTGTGTTAGTCTATGTGGTGGTTCAGAATGTTTGCAATATTCAAGAACACTTAATACTCATAAGGAATCTATACATAGACCGGAAGGCAGTAGTTCAAACAGAACAAGAGGACACTGTATGGTTTAAAATCAGTAAAGGTGTGCATCAGGGCTGTATATTTATTCAATCTGCATAATGAACAAATAATCCAAGAAGCTGGACTATATGAAGAACACAGCATCAAGATTGAAGGAACACTCACCAACAACCTGTAATATGCAGATGAAAAAACACTGCTTGCTGAAAGTGAAGAAGGCTTGAAGACCTAGTTGATGAAGATCAAAGATTACAGCCTTCAGATAGACCTCAAAAGAAAATCACCAAGATGTATCATAACGAAACTCACCAAAACCAAAGACAAAGAATCCTGAAAGCAGCATGGGAAAAATGAAAAGTTACCTAGAAAGGGCAACCAAGACTAAGCTCCGATTTCTCCAGAGAAACCATGCAGGTGAGAAGGTAATGGGATGGTATATAAAAAATCTTGGGGGGGGGTGGAATTTCCCACCAAGAATTATATACCCAACAAAACTGTCCCTCAAACATGATAGTGAAATTAGGGCATATGCAAATAAGAAGAAATTAAGGGCATTTGTTAAAACCAGACCAACCATCAAGAGATGCTAAAGGTCAACAAGACAGAAAATAACAAATGCTGGTGAGGATGTGGAGAGATTGGGACTCTCATACACTGCTGGTGGGAATGTAAAATGGTACAACCACTGTGGAAAGCAGTATGGCGATTCCTCCAAAAGTTGGAACTAGAAATACCATTTGACTCAGCTATTCCATTACTAGGTATATATCCTAAAGAAGTGAGAGCCATGACAAGAACAGACATATGCACAACCCATGTTCATCGCAGCACTGTTTACAATAGCCAAAAGATGGAAACAACCTAGGGGTGTCCATCAACTGAGGAACGGATAACCAAACTATGGTACATACACACAATGGAATACTATGCAACCCTAAAGAATAACCAAGAATCTGCAAAACACCACATAACATGGATGAACTTGGAGGACATTATGCTGAGTGAAATAAGTCAATCACAGAAAGACAAATACTATATTAGTTCACCATCATAAACAGTGTCAAGGAAAGGTTTATATATGGAAGGAAGCTTTCTTTATTGGTTACCAAGGAGGGGAGGGGAGGGGAGGAAACACTGCTAGATAGGTAGAGACAAGTATTGATTTGGGTGAAGGGAAGGGTGATGTACCAAAAGTAAGTGATAACACGGTGGCACTGAGGAAGAGGAAGACACAGAGAGGTACACAGAAGGTATAGACAACAAAGATGAACCCTTTTGAATGTACAGTACTGTATCATCAGTGATGGCAAGCATTGATCTATGGGTGGATAGATGGTGGACAGGCTGAATAACCAGGTATGTCTCTGCAGGAGGGAGTGTGCCCCGACCATGCACAGGGTCAGCACATAATGTTTCTACATGTGTATTGTATGTGCTTTAAGAATGCCTGGGTGTATAGTAGAGCTGACAAGGGGAAAGGTTATGGTGGCTTCTTGACTAGAGCCAGCTACCCAGAAGGAGTGTGTAGTTGGACCTGCAGGCTCTGGACCATTGGTTGCAGGGGACATCAAGCTCAAATGGTATAACACACCACACAAAAACATTGTTCTACATCCTATTTTGGTGAGTAGCAACTGGGGTCTTAAAAGCTTGGAAGCAGCCATCTAGATGCAACCATGGGTTTCTCCTCATCCAGAGCAAAGAAGAATGAAGAAAAGCCAAGATGCGTGGAAACAATTAGTCCAAAGGACTGGTGCACCATGTGATCCTCAGCCTATATGACCATGAGATTGGAAGATCTAGATGGTGCCCAGCTACCACTGTCAACCACTGAGAGGGAGATCAGTGCAGGAGGAGATCCTGAATAGAATGGTAGAACAATGTGGAACAAAACTGAGTATCATAAGAAAAAGACCTGGTTTGCTTGTCTAATAGAGTTTGGTAAGACCCCCTGAGACTATGGCCCCTTCAGGTATGGAACTGAACTCCTGTAGCTTCCAGCCAAATGACAGGCATAAGGGGTGAAAATTTACATCAAGTAGATACACTCCCTGGAGGGATCAATCATGGGAAAACAGGAAGACAGCTAGGGGCAGGGCAGGAATGCATGGGAGGGAAGGACACAGGGAAGAGGTAACTATGGGGAGGAAGTAGGAAGAGAGCTGTTATACTGTGGAGAATTGCAGTCAATGTCATGAAGCAAAATGTGTAAGAATTGCTGTATGGAAAATGAATTTGCTCTGTAGACTTTCACCCAAATGAAAAAAATAAATAAATAAAACAAGAAACAAAAAAAGATTACAGCCTACAATATGGATTACATCTGGACATAAAACAAAAATCCTCTCAATTGCACCAATAAGCAACACTATCATAAATGGGAGAAAAGATGGAAGCTGTCAAGGATTTCATTTTATTTGGATTCACAATCAATACCCATGGAAGCAGCAATCAAGAAATCAAACTATGTACTACACTGGGCAGAACTGCTGCAAAAGACCTCTTTAAAGTGTTGAAGACCAAAGATGTCACTTTGAAGATTAAATTATGCCTGACCCAAACCATGATATTTTCAATAGCCTCATATGCATGTGAGAGCTAGATAATGAA